ATGGATTATTTAGAAGTGTGCTGTTAGCAAGTGTTTGGAAATTTTCCTATTTCCCTTCTGTATTGATTTCTAGGTTAACTGCGTCACAGTCTGAATGTATTTATGATTTTAATACTTTTAAATGTCTTAAGATTTGTTTTATGACCTAGGATGTGGGCTACTGTGCCAAGTATTGTGCAACAGAACTCTAATCAACTTGAAAAACTGTAATTCTGTACCCATTAAATGTAGTTCCCATGACTCCCTCCATCCCCTGGCAACCATTCTATGTTCTTTCAGAGTGTGACTACTTACCATATGAACTCTAGCTTTCTGATAGTGTTTGCATGATACTGTTTCAACCTTTTCACTTTAAAAAACTTGTCATAATTCATATGATACAATTCATAGTTCAATGGTTTTTAGTGTTTACAAACATATGCAATCATACCCCTACTTAATTATAGAAATTTTCATTCCCTCAAAAGGAAACTTTCTTTTTATAGTAGTCAGTCTTAATTCCTCCTTATTTCCAACATGTGAGTACTACTAATCTTTGCTGCGCCTCTATGGAATTGCCTATCCTAGACATTTCATATAAATGGAAGCATACAACTTCTCTTTTAGTGACCAAAATCTTTCAGCTAGCATAATCTTTTTCAATATTCAAACATATTGTAATACTTATATTTCATTCCCCTTTATAGCTTAGTAATATTTCATTGCATAGGTTTGCCACAGTTTCCTGATTCTTTTGTTGGTGAACACCTGAGCTATTTTTTTTTTTTTTTTTGAGACAGGGTCTGACTACGTAGTTCAGACTGGTCTTGAACTCACCATTAGCTCAGGTTGGGCTTGAACTCATGGTTCAAGGAATCCTCCTTCCTCCTAAGTGCTGGAATTATAGGTATGTGCTACCATGGCTGGCTTCTATGTTTTGGTTTTATTAACATATTGTAATGAACTTCATGTAGAAGTTTTTTGTGAACACGTTTTCAGTTCTCGTCTAGGAGAGGAATTACTCAGTCTTACAGTAATTTTGATGTTTATTGTTTTCTAAAGTGGCTGTGCCATTCTACATTCACAACAGCAAAATATAATTGCTCCAGTTCTCCGTATCTTCACCAACTTCTGCTGTTGTTCATCTTCTTGATAATGTTATGGATGAAAACTGGTATCTCACTGCGGTTTTGAATTGCATTTCCCGAACGGCTAAATGTAGATTTAGATTTCAGATTTAACGTAGCGCAACTTTTCATATACTTACTGGCCATTTTTGTATCTCTTTTAAGAAAGGTCTAGTCAGATACTTTGCTCAGTTTTAAATTGGATTGTCTTAGGGCTGGGGATTTAGCTCAGTGGTTCTGCTGCCTGCCTTGCAAGCATAAAGGACCTGAGTTAGATCCCCGGTTCAAAAATAAATAAATAAATTGGATTGTCTTTTTATTCCTGAATTGTAAGAGTTCTTTATATATTCTGGATACAAGTTTCATCAAATATATGATTTGCATTTTTCTTCAATTTGTGTGTTTCATTTTCTTGATGGTGACCAAAGGTTTTAAGTTTTTATGAAACTTTATTTTTTCCTCTTTTTGGTGTGTTACCTAAGGCTTTATGTAACTGCAGATTACACTTATTCCTGTTTTCTTTGAAGAGTTTTATAGTTTTAGGTTTTACATCTACTTTTCTGATCTAATTTGAATTATTTTTTGTGCATAGTGTAAGGAAATGGTGTAAGTTTATTCTTTTGCACGTGGATATCCTAGCATCACTTGTTGGAGACTATTCTTTCATTCAATTGTCTTGGGCTTCCTGGTAAAAACCAACTGACCACAATATAAAGCATCCTTTTCTTTTTTCTTCTTCTTCTTTTTTAGACAGGGTCTTGCTTTGTAGTTCAGGCTGGCCCTGAACTTATTACGTAGCCCAGGTTGGCCTCAAAATCAAGGCAATCCTCCTACCTCAGCCTCCCAAATACTGGGATTACAAGCATGTGCCAAGACACCTAGTTAAGATCAACTTTTTTTTTTTTTTGGTACCAGGGATTGAACTCGGGTCCTTGTGCTTGCACAGCAGGCAGTGAAACCACTGAGCTCAATCCCTAGCCCAAAGCCAAACATTTTTAAAGACACCAGCCATTGTCGTTTAATTTAGAAATTTAGAAAGTTTAAGTTTACTCACTGTATATAAAATATCCTATTGTTGATTTCATATAAGAAAATCGGAAGACATAGCATTGTCTTCAAATATAGATCAGCTTGGCGTAGTGGTACATGCCATAATCCCAGCTACTTGGGAGTCTGAAGCAGGAGGATTTCAAGTTTAAGGCCAGCCTAGGCAATTTAGTGAGACTTTGTCTCAATTTTAAAAAAACAAAAAACTGCAAAAACATAGATCAACCTGGTCAATACAGACCAATCTTCAAAAATTATATAATAGTCTCAATGTTGGATATATCATAAAATATACTGTTTTAAATTTCTTGCTATTAAAATCACAGGTGAGATATAGGGGCCGGGGATTTAGCTCAGTGGTGCCAGCGCCTGCCTCGAAAGCACAAGGACCCAAGTTTGATCCCCGGTACCAAAAGCAAACAAACAAACAAACAAATCACAGGTGATCTAGATTACCATACATATTTAATGTTTAATTTTAGCTTTATAAATTTAAGTAGTTACCTAATTTTTTTATCTTTCAAGGTATATTTTGTAAAATGTAGTTTTATTACAGGATTTATAGTTATATAATTGATCACTCAACACTGAAGACTTTCTTTCTTCCTGTATTCAGAACTGAACCCAAGGGCCTTTGCACTGAGCTACATATTATTTCATTATTTTGAGATAAGGTCTCACTAAGTTGCTAAATTGTCTAGGCTGGGCTCAAACTTGCCATCTTCCTGCCTCAGCCTTTCAGTGGTGGGATTACAGGCTTACACCACCATGCTGTAGGGAAAGATGAAGCCTAAGATTGCTGCACTATGATTCAGGCTGTGTGAGTGATTTCTGGTGGACATTAAATCCAAGTAAGCAAGATTTCCGTGCAGGCACACCTGTCAGTCTCAGTGTAAATAACTGGTATAATCAAGGTCATTACTGGCATGTTGCCACTGTTGTGCAGATACCCATACAGCACATAGCTGGACTAGCCCGCAGGCTAGGGGGCCTGAGGGCTGCCACATGAGTGTGGCCAGCTGAGCTGAACAACTGAGATAAAGGCAGGTTCAGACTTTCCAAGAACTGTCTCTTCTGGCTTCCCAAATCTCAAGTGAACCTCCCCAGTCTGAACTAGTGACAAGACACATGCCCGGCTGTTTTCATTTTCTATAAAATAAGATCTATCATCATCTCTTCAATAATTTTTAATTTCCCTCCTCAGAACTTAAGCTCTGGTGCCTTTTCCTTGAGGTCAGAATCATAGGCAGCATTCTAGTGAGAATTCATAGTTTAGGAGTGCTGTAGTTTGTTTACTAAATTCTTTCCAGTATTCACCATTTTGTTGGCTGCTTTGGCCAGAAGTACTTCATTTGCATAACATCTTCATTAATATTCTTGTGGCCACTGAAATAGTGTGTCATCTTTTCACTCACACTGTTTTGTAATATTATGAAAAAGGATGGAAGAAAAATCACAAGGAATTCCTGAAGTAGTCTCTTCATTATTCTGCTCTTGTTATAACACTACCGTTTACGGGAACCTTCGCCTGTTTCAGGAAACTTCAAACCTTCAGGGCTATCAGAATCTTCCCCAGTCCCTTAGATGAAGATAACTTACATACTAACTGGAAATGGAGTTTTCTGGATCTGAATCTTCTGCTCTTTCCCATTATACAATGCTGCCTTCCCCACTGCTCATCAGAGACTCATTTTTCTTCAGAATCATTTCTTTCATATCAGCCTCTTTTGGAATAGAAGCCTTTCTCTGGTTATCCTCCTTAGTGTCTCTTCAGGAAAACACAAATTCACCATCCTACTGATAATTCATGAGGGCTTCTAAAGCACATGGTAACGCTGCAGGTAGCAAATATACTCTCTTGGGGGAAAGCAAAGAATGCACTTGAGAGTGTTTCACAACAACAAAAATCCCACCATTTTACTACACGTAAAGTCACCCTGGTGTACCGTGTGTTTCCGCCAGAGGACAGGGCCATCAACAAGCTTCAGGCTAGAGAGAATGTGAACGCTATCTTGATCTTTATCTCTTGAGTCCCCTCCTCTGAGCAAAAGATGCCACATCCATTCTAACGGGTTTCTCTTCCAACTGACTTTGCCTCTCCAGCCACTGTCCCGTCCTAGTGTCTTCCCCACAGGATCTTCCAGGACTGTTCTTTTCTCTGGCCGCGTAGGCTGGCAGGGCCGCTGGGGTGAGGGAGCGCCCTAGTTTCTCTGCCCTTGTTACTCACCTGCCTCAGGTCAGAACGTGCTTCTCTTGGGGTGCCCCTGAAACGCTTCCGACTCTTACACGACCTTACTTAACGGAGCCCGGCTTCTCCTTATCGCTTCTTGAGTCTTCCCTAGCTCGGCAGGTTTTTGTTCCCAGACGCTCGGCGGGAGGCGGTGTTTACTAGCGTATGCCCAGGCCTCCACTCCAGTCCTCAGACTTCCTGCGACCCTAGCCGGCCTTGGCCTTCCGGACGCGGTGGCCGAACCCTCCCCTCCAAATCCCACACCGGAAAACCTCGAAGCGCTCAAGTCCTTCGAGCGCGCCCGGGATCAGCCCAAGAGGGCTCCCGCGGCTTGCGCATGCGGACTCGGCGGCCGCAGCCCAGATTCCCCAGCCGCCTCCCTCCGCCCGGCGCGGCGGCTAGGATCCCGCTGACAGCTCCACCACCGACGAAAGCAGCCTCATCTCGCGCTTCCACGTTATCCTATCACAGGAGGGGCGGGGCGGAAGCCTCCGAAGCCAATCAGCGCCAACCACGACCCAGGCGCGCCCGCTCGCTCCGCGGCCAGGAGGAAGGCGATTGGCCCGTGGTGGCGCTCGGGGCGTAACGTCTCTGGGGCCCCGCCCACCGCCGCTTTCCTCTATTGGGCGCCGCAGCCGCTCGGGCCTGGGAGTCAACTGCAGGCTGGCGAAGCTGTTCTGGGCGCCCGTGCGGGCTGGTGGGCCGCGCACCTTCCTCCTCCGCACCTCCCGCTCTCGGACATGGTGGCCCCCGGCTCCGTGACCAGCCGGCTGGGCACGGTGTTCCCCTTCCTGCTGGTCCTGGTGGACCTGCAGTACGAAGGTGAGTCCTCCTTGTCCCACCGGGGACCGGGTCCCGGGCCGGGGTCTCCCGCGCGTCCCCGCCGCCCCGGGCGCGAGTCGCGAGGCGACGCGGGCGGAACCGGAGAGCCTGCGGCGGGGCCTGGGCCTGAGCCGGGCTTGGACGCGGGCCGGCGGCCGGTTCCGGGTTTGCCTAGGGAAGAGGCGAGAGCGCCGGCGGTTCCCCCGGGTCCTGACTTTGGGCCCGTCCTGGGACGCGGGCCCGCGCGGCCGGCGGGTCCAGGCTCGCAGGGGCTGTCGCTCGGCGCCTGGGGACCCGGTCGGCCACGATGGGAGCCGGCTTTCTCTCGGGAGCCCTCGGGTGGCGGAGGCCGGAGAGCGAACGGGACGCTGTGGAGTGTTTAGAAAGTAGTGGCCGTCGCGTTTCGATGCGCTCTGACGCGTGTGGAAGTTGTTAGGTTGATGCCTCCAGAGTTAGTGTTGGATTCGCGTTGTCGGAGGGCAGAGGACCAAGTTTGTGGTTATCCCAACTCCCAGCGTGGTGTCACTTCAGCTTCGGGCTGGCTGTGCTTTTAAAAGTTCCCTGGAAAAGGTCCCCTTCTAAAAGATAGGGAGGCTTAAATTTCACTCCTCCAGACTGGAATGTTGACTGCTGCGACCACGAAGAGGAAATAAGAGGGCTGTCCCACCTGGGTGTCAGCGGGGAGGAGTAAGAATTAAACCCGAAGTGCCAGTTTGGCGAATGCCCCCAGCTTTGTACTGTGCTGAATATTCGAGTATAATGACACATCTGTCACATGCACTGATTAATTTTCATCTCCACGAAAGGGAACGGTTGTCCAGGAGGTCAAATTGAACATTTGGATATTCTCTTCTGTTCAGAGTGAGGAACTGAACTTGGGATTTGTGTATGGTGAAATCCTTCCAGAATTGACAACTCTTTTTTTTAATAGGTAATACTCTTCGGTTTTTAGGTCTCATTAAAGGCAGTGTTGTTTTGTTTCTTGGTTATCATACACACACACACACACACCCACACACACACACATATATAAACTGAAAAACTCTGTAGTGTGACAATATTGGTACAAAGAATTTGAAAGTGGAACTGCCCTAGAAAATGTAGGAAATTTGAATTTGAATCCTGGACCACTTTAATTGGTGATGGGGATATAAAGATAAGAAAAATTCTGATGTGAATAGCACACTATTAGCTTCTGTTTTCCCAAATAAGTTTTGTCTGGGATCTTGACCTTACAGTTCTCAGTAAGTGTCCCTGCTAAGCCTGGAGAGAAGAAATAAAAGAGAATGGTATGAGAAGGTCGAATCTGAAATGGTGGCATGCTATGAGAAGGTTACCAATAATTAGTGTAGACTGCCTAACGTTTTCAGATTTAAAAACATTGGTCTTTGTTTCTGCTCCAAACTTTTCTGTTAACTAATCTAGAGGAGAACATGTATCATGAATTGAAAGATTGACTCTTAGTATTCCCTTTCTCAAAGGCTTTTGAAAGAAATACAGAGCACTAGATTAGAAAGAATTTTGGGACTAGAAGTAAATCTTTAGTAGTACCTATTTTATTCTCATATTATAGATAAAGGAAATTATTTCACTTCTTTGCTAATTGTTCTGCTTAGTGATTTGAGTAACAGACTGAAAACCAAACCTTGTTTTTTGTTATCAAAGTTTAATTTTTTTTTTCTTAACATGTTATCTGGACTCATTTTTTTCTTTATTTCACTAAATGGAGCTGATTAAACTATATTTTGGTCACATGAAAAAGAATAGTTGAAAATCTCTATGTATAAAATTTTTATTTGAACTTAACTGACTAAAAGTATGTTTTGTCTTTTCTAGGATTTCCTTGACATTAGGTAAATATGGAAAGAGTACATAAAGTAGTAAAAATGATTTTAAGAAAGTTAGATTAAGTTTTATAGCAGATGGTCAGATAACTTCTAGTTATTTTAAATTCTTTATAAGATAGGCTGTACTTAGCAGTAGTGTCCAAGTCCAGTCGACCTGACTGTCTCATTTTCTGAGTTCCTCTAAATGCAATAGTTTTTATTCTGGACAGGAGTTGTTCTGAGATGAAATGCCCTGTAATAATTAGGTTTTATTTTCCCATGTGAAGTTAATTAATTGTGATTAAGTTTAGTTTCTATTGTCATTGTCTGTCTTCCTTTGATTAATGAGTCAGCAGCTATTCTTTGTTTACATGGAAATAGTATGGGAACGCAGTCATCTGCTCTTTAGAATGCAAACATTTCACCATAAATTTATTTTTCTTAACATTCATTAGAAACTGACTTTTTAAAAAATGATATGATTTGATATGATGTTATTTGGAGTTCTGGGATACAGAAGAGTCAATCAACAAAGGTGTACACTCTTGGTCTCTGGTGAGGTATATACAGTAAAATTGTTTTCCCTAAGGAGTTTACAAATTGTGTGGGGATTTAAGAAGTGCATTTTGAAGCTTCCATGTCCTCTTCACCAGGTTTCTTAGTTTGGATTCAGGGTCTATCATTGTACACACTCAATTGCAAACAGCCTTTAATTTCCCTGCCTCTATAGCCTTTGGCTTCACTCACCTGGCAAATTACAAACTTGATTAAATCCAACCTGGCCAACTTGTTTGTTGTACCTTAACACCTGAATACACGTGGAGAAAAATAATTTTGTTGTTAGTTTCATTTTAAGTACAAAAATCTCGATCTCAGATGCACACTGAATTGTAGGGAACAGGGAAAGGGGATGTTACTAAAACCTTTGCATTAAGTCCTACTCTGCGAGCCATGACAGCACAAGGCAAATTAATTAATGTATAGACAGAAATGAGACTTAAGAAGCTGAGCTTTGGGCCTGATCAATGCTGCTCTGGGCAGCAAAGATGAAAGGCCCCCAGCCTGCCACACCTTTACTCAGTATATAGGGAGAAGAAATGTAGCAGATAATTTAGGGTGGTGTTAGTCCTAGAATAAGGAGGAACTATGCGGATGAAGATTTGCTTCTTCCTTGGATGTCTCCAGCTGGTGTAATCCTGGCCTGGAGCATCACAGCATCATGGGGCCCTTGAGGTCTTAGCTGTGACTTGAGGCGCAAACGGAGTTACATCTGACATGCTTTGTCATGCCGTAGCTGGCCTGTAGGCAGGAAAAAAGGCCCTAATCATGATTTAATTGTGAAATGTTTTTTCCCCCAAATTATGTAGAAATTGGTCCTGACCCTGAATACTATGAGCATTCCTATAATTCCCTAGTATGTTAGTTCTTGGAAATCAGTATTTTAAACCTTTTTCCTTATTCCTCCAATTTAAACTCCTTTTACCTCATTCTTTTAGACCGTGTCTGTATTGAGAAAATGAAATCCATCACCGGAAAACTTCTTGTTCTTTCTACCAGCAGTTCACTAACTTATCTACATCTGAACCTGTTCTACCTTTTCTCATATTAGATTGTCATCTCTGTTTCTGGTTAAATCCTATCTTACATATCTAGATTGCATTTCCTCTCATCTAAAGATGTTTCTTCTACAGTTGTTTGAGCTGCTGTAACAAAATACATTAGACTGAGTAATTTATAAACAATAAATATTTATTTCAACTTTAAGTACTTCCGGGCTTGCTAGCTGGTCTAGGCCTGCCCGGCTTGAACCTTGGTGTATTTGACCATCAGTTGTTCCCTTCTTGGCTAAGATGTCCAAGGTTATTCCATATCTGTTGAGGGACACACTATTGTATCCTCATATGGCAGAGGGACAAATGCTGTGGCCTTACGCAGCAGAAGGTGGAAGGGCAAAAAGGATGTTTGTTCCCCATCCATTTTATAAGGTGCTGATACATTCGCAAGGGCACAGCTCTCATAATGTAATCACTTCTGAAACGTCTCAATACCGCCACAGTGAATTAAGTTTCAGCTCATGAATTCTGGTGATATTCAGACCTTAGCAAGTTTCTGTGTCTCTTTTTTCCCTTTACTAGTAGCACTTCTGTCAAATTAGTCTGTGATGTCATTTGTCTCTGAAGCTATCGAATTCTATTTTGCTTATATTGATAGCAGAATTTGAGTTAGTAATATCTGTCTACATTTTTATCTGTTGTTTCCCCAACATATTATTATTATTTAAAATTACTATTATTTGGTACCGTGGATAGAACTCAGGACCTTGCGCTGGTGAGGCAGGCGTGGTACCACTCAGCTAAATACCCGGCCCCCCAACATACTATTTTATTAGTAACTGTAAAGCATTATGTATCTGACTTTTTACTTCTCCAAACTCCTTGTTTTTTTTAAATTTCAAAAAATGTTTTTGTTTAGCAAGACGGGGCCTTGCTATGTACTTCAGGCTGGCCTTGAACTTACCATGTACCGTATTCTGACCTTGAACTCAGAGCCTCTTGTCTAGCCTCCCAAGTGGTGGGATTATAGGTATGAGCCACCAGGCCTAACATTTCCTCAAATTCCTTCAACCTGTCAGAAGTTTCCCATTGGAGTGCCTCTCCCCCTCCCTCCCAGTACTGGGGGTAATGGAAACTGGAGATGGAAACTGGGGCCTTCATACTGAGCTGTACCCCCAGACCTTTTTTCATTTTTTATTTTGAGACAGGACCTTGCTGATCAGAACTGAGCTGGGCTTGAGCTTGTGATCCTTCTGCCACAGCCACCGAGAGTGCCACCCAGATTAGAGGCATGTGTCACCATGTTCACTTTGCATTAATTTCTTTTATTTCTAAACTTCAAATCCATTTGTGACATAAAGTCTGTATTTTTGCTATTGCCATACTCTGGAAAGCTATTCCCTAAGATCACCAAGTGAACATTCATGTTTCACAGAGGCCTTCTTGATGTGCTATGTAAAAAGCACTCTCTCCAGTAGTATTATCCCTTTATTACTTGTATTTTCTTTATAAAAAGATCTCATTTACTTTTCTTATCTGTTTATTCCCTTTAAAATGTAAGTTTTATGGAAAAGGCTCTTGTTTCTGTACCTAAAAGATGTTTGAAGTAGATTGCAATAAA